CGAATATGGCACTCATTTCTAAATCCAAGATGGCGGACACGAGTTTTCAAATAAATGCAATATGGGTATCATTTTCGAGGTACTTGGGGGTGCTCATTACGAATGTGGCACTCATTTCTAAATCCAAGATGGCGGGCACGATTTTTTCAAAAAAATGCTATGTGGGTATCATTTTCGAGGTATTTGGGGATGCTCAATGTGAATATGGCACTATTTGTAAATCCAAGATGGCGGGCACGATTTTCCAAATAATGGCAAGTTGGGTATCGTTTTCGAGGTATTTGGGGGTGCTCATTACGAATATTGCTTTTGTTTGAACTGTCGTGTTTGCCATCTTGGATTTAGAAATGAGTGCTATATTTGTATTGAACATTCCCAAACATCTCGAAAACGATACCCAACTTGACATTATTCGAATCGCGCCCGCATCTTGGATTTAGAAATAAGTGCCATATTCGAAACCTAAAACCGAAAATGCCATAAGCAAACATTAAAGAAAATAACTGTTAAAATAGATTAAAAAATCGCTTAAGAATGCTCCCCTTTTAAGAAAATAAAATATTTTAATATAAAATATTTCGCTTGAGTTACGAAAAGAAAGACATATAATAAGCTATCAAAGTTGTACTGGTGGTGCCAACACTATAGTAGAAACAAATATATACTGTAAATTTGTTGCAATATGTGCTCCAATTCAAATAAAATTAATATAAATAATTATTCAATAAAGCATGAACGCAGAGCCGTTAAAAGTATTATAAAATAATTAAGTGTCCCAATCACTTACAGGAGTTAACGAAAACATTTAATGTTTATTCAAGTAAATATTAGTTCAAGATGCGCAAATAAATCGAAATTACAGGCACCACTAAAATTTACGTAATATAATTATTTTGATACAGAATAGCAAAATGGGGAGAAAAAAAATTCGTTACTTTGCAACACTTTCGTATCTTGTTGCCGCGAAATTATTTTTCTGTTTTAGTGAATATTTACATAAAAATATGAGTTGAAACGCATTACTTACTTGTGGAATGCGATGTTAGTGTCTATTTTATGTTTGTCTGTTGTATTTTTACACCCATTTACCGCACATTTCGTCATTTTTAGCAAAAAATTTTGGAGCTGTTCGCGGTGCAATATGACCTTGAGCACTAACAGCCCGCGCGCTCCTGGGACGCGTTTGGAACCCTCTAACTTGCCTCACTTAGCGTGTGCGGGCTAGGTTTCTATGCGTTATTATTCTAAGCGTTTAAAAAGTAAAACTCACCATCCTGACATGCCATTCCCGTTCAACTTTGTGTAGGTCATGATGAGGTCATGATACGAATTTAAGCAATTCAGATTTACCACATCAAGTGAATTGCAAGGAACTGGGCTGGCTGCTTATAAGCTCATAGTAGGTCCCCAGAACAGTTTTTTTATATATTAGTTTTACTGCATCGGTTAATATCCATCACGCCAAACTTTAAATTTTTATTTTTCATATCTTTTCAAATATTGTGTCCTATGGTCGTATTCCAGAACTCTACTCAATGCTCAAGTCAGGATTTGAGCAGACTTGAGTATGATTTCAAGCACTGGAAATACGACCCTAATGGCAAGGACTTGAGTATGATTTCTAGTGCTTTAAATCTTACTCAAATCCTGACTTGAGCATTGAGTAGAGTACTAGAATACGACCTTAAGAGACTTTCTTCTTTGAATGTAACCACAGAACAATTTCATGACCGGCTAAACGAAGTGCAAGATGCTTTTTTTCAATAATATAACATGGCCGTGCACACATGGATTGAATATGTCATTCAGTAATTTAAACGCGGTCATATGGGGCAATTTTAAGGATAATAATTGCAAAATGTAATTATTATGTGAAAATACTAATAACAAATTAAATAACGTCAAATGAATTAAACAAATATCAAAAATTAGACAATGAATTTAAAAAATTTAAGATTTGTCATTTAAAAATTTAAAAAAATTAGTAGAACTTCCTTGTGAAAGAGTTCGTTCAGGGAACTACTGCTACCTTACTATGTGGAGGTTAGCGTTGCGCAGGTACCACAGGGCACCCGTCGCGTTACGCATGAATCTATTTTGGAGAGCCTGCAGGCGGTGTATAAGCGCGGGATTTGCCTGAGCGAATGCGACTCTGGCATACGTCATTATTGGGCGGATGCAGGTCTTGTACAATCTCACCTTATTACGGAGGGAGAGTTTGCTATGCTTGTTGAGAAGGGGGTGGAGCCTCCTCATAACAAAGTGGGCGCGATCGCGGACGGTTTCCGCGTGTGCTTTGAATGATAGCTTCCTATTGAGCGAAACTCCTAAGTATTTGACCGTGTTCACCCAAGGGATTAGGCGGCCAAAGAGCGAGATCGGGGTGAGTCCACACTAATAAAATTTTGTTCGAGTAGTCAAAATTCGAGGGAAAATGTTAACGCAGCGATTCAGAAATAACGCCAAATAGATCAATGCCATCTAGCGGATTCTTAGTGAACTAAAAGTGAACATTTTGGCTTAAGGCCGTCTAATACATAAAGTAGGTTTATTACAGAACTAAAATTTTCAAAAAAAAACGCACAATAATTAATAGTATTTATTTATTGGCAATTGGCTATATAGCCTAAAAAGATAACAAATAATTATGAAACTGAAAATATAGTAAAACTTAGACGAAATTTCTTAAAAATGTAACAAAATCTAAAAGTTAGCCACGGAGTAACTTTTTTTGAATTGCTTATTTTTACAGATGAGCCCGCCATGTGCATGATAAATGGCACGTCATGATACGATTTTGCTATGAAAGAAAAGGTGAACGGATTTCGAATGGGTAATGTAAACTCCATGGAAAGTGAATTGTTTTTGTGAGGTCATAGTACGAATTTGACAGGCAATCCAACTTACAGGCTTAAATAAAATTGTTTTAAGAGCACATAGTAGACCCTCTGATGTAAGTTTAGAACGACTGTTTTAGTCATCAGCCTCGGTACTCTCCGGTACTCCACTATAACCTCTGTTTCGCCAACGACCTCGCTACTCTCCGAGGACTGATGTGATTCTGCATTTCTGTCCTCAGTTTCAAGCAGTCGAGGGCAGAGGCCTCCATCTCCTCTTCTCCTACCTTCACCTACACGCTACTTCACTCCTTCTACTCTACCACACTATCAAGGTTTTCATATTCCTTTTTTTATATATAAAAGTATCGTTTACTTAGTGTTACTTCACTCCATAATTTTGTAGTTCTTTACCCCTTCAAAATGTCGTAACACGACAACGTGAAGAAGCCCTACTCTACACTATTCAAACTGGTGCGATATCGGAGCACAATTTTTAGTATAATATTCAAAACTTTTATTCATTACTTTTACCGCTTCAAATTAAAAAATAATAATTGTTCTTTAATGATATTGAGAAACTACTATGAGCAATCTTTCATAAGTTTAACGGAAAAGTACCTATTGCATTCCATCTATTAAATTGTCCATAATACGTGTATAACACACTGAGCGCAGTTGTCCATACAACGTGCATAACACACTGAGCGCAGTTTCTATGTAAAATTATCCATTTTTCATTGATTGAACTCAGAAACTGCGCCACAGGTGTGTAGAGCTGTGTTGGAGCTCGATAAATAAACAATAACTATTGGTGACGTTGCGATACTTAAACTTTATGGCTTTTGAATGGCAAAGGTGTGTCTTACAAAGTAATTTAACTCCTATTTGCTTTTTCAAAACAAATCTTCTATGCCATTAAGATTAAAATTGTCAGGGCTTTATAAGAACTGGCATTAGCCTTGTGATGTCAGTCGATTTCGTACGCGTTGAAAAAAGTTTGAAATATTTTTGTAACATCTGATTTCTGTATTAATAGAAACGATTATTTATTGTAAGTACTCGTACCGCTCAAATATAAATTTTCCCCTACTTATCTAAAATAAAAAAAAATAGGGACACTCTTCTGCTTTAGAAGTTGAACTAACAGGATGAATTTCGTCTAATAAGTTCAACTTTTTGAAAAGTTGTACCTAGTTGAACTTATTGGAATATTTTTGTCTGATTAGTTCAACTGATTGAACTTAGTGGAAAAGACTCTATTTTGCAATTAGTAGTAGTAGAGATCCTTGTGAAAGAGTTTGTCCAGGGAAGTACTGCCACCTTATCTATTTCTGTCGCCAAGCAGTAATATGAGCATTAGTGCGTTCCGGTTTTGAAGGGTAAAAGTGCTGGTGAAATTACAGGCACATGCGACTTGTCAACTTATGTTTCAGGGTGTCGGGCCCAATGGCAGGGCACCTCAGATCTTTGTGATTTGAGCTCTGAGTGGCACTGCAACTGTTAAGGATAGACGTGTCGTTTACCGATAGGCACACGACTAGTTCGACCCGTCACTTAGTATTAAAAAAAACGACGATCAACGTAATAAACGTAAGCCATTTTTGAAATGTGCACTCTCATCCTAAATTATATATTTTTCCAGGATATGGTATCACATACAGGAAAGGACTCTTTACCGAAATACAAAATGTTTGAAAAATTAGTCGCTCCTCAAGCGGATAAAAGGGAATACAAAATATTATACTTCAATATTCTTACATTCTTATACTGGCATATAGCTGGTTTATATGGACTGTACTTGTGTTTCGCTTCTGCGAAATGGGTTTCCATCTTGAATTGTAAGTGCTTTCGTACATAATCTTTGATTACACTGGCATGTAAAAACTACAAATACTTACATGTATTGGTACAGTCGAGAAGTTCAATATATCTTATGCCTTTTGACATCATTAGAAAGCTGGTCATATATACATATATAGAAATATACTCGTATTCTATTACAATAAAGGTAGTGTGACTAGTGCACATTTTGTAGTGTTGAGTGATACATGTATCCAGTATTGTCTGCCCAGTTTTCAAATATAAATTAATTGTATGTGTTAATTGAATATTTTTTGCAGGTTTTATCTTCTACCTCTTTGGCCAGTTAGGCATCATTGCAGGTGCGCACAGACTTTGGTGTCATCGGTCATACAAAACCAAATTGCCATTGGAAATAATCCTCATCTTCTTTAATTCAATAGGATTCCAAAATACCGCAATTGACTGGGTCAGAAATCACAGACTCCATCATAAGTACAGTGATACAGATGCCGATCCCCATAATGCAACTAGAGGTTTTTTCTTTTCCCATTTGGGGTGGCTCATAACGAAAAAACACCCTGCAGTAAAGAAATTTGGGAAAACTATTGATTTGTCTGATATTTATAATAATCCTGTGCTGACGTTCCAGAAAAAGTAAGTGATATAAGGTTCTAAACAATCTTAAGTAATAGTGTTTCGTTACGATTTCTACGGATGTCAAGGGTTCATTAAACGATTTTAAAATCCGTAAAAGAGATTAATTTGATCCTTATCATTCTGGGCATGAAACATTGTCATGAGAACCTTTAAGTTATTTTTAAGTAAACCTTAAAATTTTGCTTCTATTGGCCATTATGAAGTTATCTAATGCGTTTGTGTGAGAGAATTTGACATTTCTCAATGTCAAAGACCAAAATTTTCATAACTGGCACACTTAAGTAAGCATGTATATTCTGACTTTCGATATACATATAACTAATGTGTTATTTTTTTACTTTGAATAACGATTTTCCACAGGTACGCGATACCAGTCATTGGCATATGTTGCTTCGTGCTTCCAACTGTGATTCCCATGTATTTCTGGGGAGAAACATTCAATAATGCCTGGCATATTAACATCCTACGCTATATGTTGAACTTAAACGCAACTTTTCTAGTGAACAGTGCCGCCCACAAATGGGGGTACAAACCTTACGACAAGAATATTCTTCCCACTGAATGTCCTTCAGTATCACTTGTGTCTTTGGGCGAGGGGTTCCATAACTACCATCACGTGTTTCCATGGGATTATAAATCAGAAGAATTGGGAAATAATATTTTAAATTTCACAACTAAGTTCATTGACTTCTTCGCATTTATCGGCTGGGCATACGATTTGAAAAGTGTACCGGACGACATCCTTAAAATTAGAGCTCTTAGAACTGGCGATGGGACGGCTATTTGGAGGAAGTCGTTGAGCAATGGTGATTAAAACTGGAATATTAAAGTTGACAGATGACTTGGGTTTGGGGTGGTACATTAAATAGGATTCCTTCGTGCGGACAACGGCGTACAAGTCTCCCATTATGGTCTGGCTACCCGACGCGATGGAGCTTTACTGCGAGTAAACTTATGGAAGCCATTTTTTTTACCAACATTTATTACGTTCGCATATAGGTACCAACGCTTACTCGGTTAGCGCAAGTTAATTCGCTGTTATAATAATAAACACATCCCTTTACACTTATAATTGTTAACATTATGCATTTTGTTGAACCCTAATCCCATTGTTGCTTAAGAAATTATTTTTTCCTTCCATTATTTTCGATGATTATTACTTTTTTATGATGTCAAGTAATGAGACGAATAAGTCGTGCGCCTGGTGATAAGCGACATGCCATACATAATATGCTACTGTCCATAGTAGTTCCAGTGCCACTCAGCGCTTTAAATCGCAAAGATTTGAGGGGCACTGACACTGCGTCCGTCATCCTGCGACATAAGTTGGTATATCCCATGTGCTAGTAATTTAACCGCACCCTTATCCTTCAAAAGTGAAACACAGTAATGCTCACCTCATCGCTTGGCAACAGAAATAAGTAAGGTAGCAGTATTCCTTGGACGAACTCTTTCAAGAGGAGCTCCATTGCTACTGAATTTATATTCGTTTCCCCGTTTTGCAGTGACACAAAAGCAAACCGCGGAGTTCTAGAAACAAAAAGATCTTAAGAGGTCCAAATTGCAAAATGTAAAGCCAAGCGCGCAGCTGTAGCTAAGTGTTAATTCACTTCATAGCGATTTCTATGTAGTGTGAAATTTTAATTGTAACGTAATTATTCTACGATGGCGTAAGAGATCGTGACGATTAGGAGCATGTATTCGTTCTTCCATCAATTCGCATACACCAATCATTCCCAAAGTGTTGCATATCTACCCCCAGGTGTACACTCTAACACATGGAACATGATGCAAATTATTCTTACGAAACTTCTTAACAGGAACTTTGAGTATAATATTGTTAGTGAGTGAGGAGTTCAGCAAAAAACATGCATCAGCTATATTTATCCGCAGATATAAAGGAAACAGATGAATTTTTTCACAAAACGGTGTATGTACTCCATATGCAGTTTAAATTTGTAACTTAAAAATCTAGTGAATTTCTTCTGTATTTTTTTAATGCTGTTAGAGTAAGTACCGTAGTAGGGATTCCAAATTTACGACGCTTACTCAAGGTGGCTGCGAACATAAGTGCAATAAAGAATTTTCAGAGTTTTCTTATTTTTAAAACCTTTCTGATGTACGTGTAATGATGAATCTTAGAGCTTTGTATGCATACATATAAAAAATATGTTGATCAAATAATAGTTTAATTATACAGGTAATACCTATGTATGTGTACGTAATACTTTTTTTTTTCAAAAGGCACATCAACAGCATGTGTATTTATACATTTAAAGAACTTAAGACTAAGAATAGACAATCACATAATTGGGTAACCTCGCAAACATGTGTTTTAAAATGGTGGATTTGTACTTTGCAAGGGAATCAAACATATATCGAGGTCAGGTAAAGTAGCACTGAGTTTGTTATAAGTGCAGCCAAGACGAGACACCGGGGCATTTTTGACAACATTGGTCCTACAAACCGGTGGTTGGAACAACCGAGTGATGTGCTTCCGGGGTAAGTTATACGGAACTGATAGTGAAATGCGAGGAAGCAATTCTTCACTCTTTAAGGTTCCGTTAACACATTTGTGCAAAAATGTGCATCACGCAGTTTACGGCGATTTCGCAATGAGCTCATTTAAAAAAATCCCAAACGCTGGTCATACGAGCACCTATGGGAAATATCCCGCGAAAGAAAGGCGAGATGTCTTGTGAAAGCCCATTGTACAGACTCCAAGTGCTGAGAGTGCACCGTATACCCGGGGTTCCAAACCACAGAAGCATATTCGAGTTGACTACGAACTAGGGTAAATAAAATTATTTTGGTTTTTAGTATTTATAGTCTACAGATTGAGTTTAGGAGTATTTGGTGTTTATATGTGTTGTAAATTTCACTTTACTGTCTACGATGACACCCAAATCTTTTACTTCACATAATTCTTCTTAAAGTTGACCATTGACATAGTACGCCGAAGGAATACTATTCAACTTTCTGGTATAGCGAACGAATGAGCATTTTCTAGAATTAGGTTCCATTCCATTAGACTTAGACCACATTTCAATCCTGCCCAAGTCTTTTTGAGTCAATGCTATATACAGACTGGATTCCACTTTTTTAATAAATTTTTAAATCATCGGCAAAACAATAGCGGTCCCAGATTACCCCTGCGGTATACCTGATTGTGCAAGATACGCATTAGACTCAAAGCCGTTTATGACGACAGACTGATATCTTTCCGATAAGTATGGACGAAGCTACTCCAATAGACATCCGTTTACGCCAAAAGCTTCTAATTTTTGTAAAACTAAATAATGATTAACTTTGTCGTACGTGCTGCTAAAGTCGGTATATATAGTATCCACTTGGTTGCCATTATCAATCTCATGGGCTAAATAAAAGTAAGTTACAAATATAATAAGTTACAAAGTTGACTAAATTAGTTTGAATACCTTTCTTTTCTGAAGCCGTGTTGGTGGGGTGTAATATATTTATCTAGGTGTTGTGTAACTATTGGACACACCAATGACTCCAACAGCTTGGGTGGACAGGACAAAATTGCGACTGATCTGTAGTTTCTATCACAGTGTGGATCACCCTTTGTGAAAATTGGGACAATTCTAGCTTTTTCCCACTCATTCGCTTGAGTGTGATTAAATATAATCGTCAGGGGAAAAGCCAATCCTGCTGCAGTGCGTTTGAAGAACAATGGTGGTATGTGATCAGGACCTGCACATTTATTAGCATCTAATTGCACGAGCTTTTTTAGAACGGAGATCCTTAAAAAGCTCGTACATTCACTGTAAAATTAACCAGACCAGGTAGACAATCACTACAACCAGTGGAATCATTACTCAAGCTTAAACTGTTGTTGTTATATACCGATGAGAAATGTGTAGCAAAAAGATTCGCTATATCGTAACCATTTTCAGCCGATTCGTTAAGACACATACTAGACGGAATACTTTTATTTCAGAGAAAAATAAACAAACTACAGTCAATGAAAAATACATAGTCCTGGTGTCATATATGTATCCATATCATTTTCGTAAATATTTATACAATGCATATTATATATTTATAATTGCATTAAAATGTACACGATTAGGATTGTGATTTTATCATAATTATGTAACCACTTTTAAAACATTGCATCGTTTTCAAAAATATATGTACACAATAAACACTCTTTTGCAAAAAAAACTGGCACCTAAGCAAATAAGGTGAACGACTGTCACCTGCAGTAAATTTTATTATTTAACTAACTAGTATTCTCAGAGTCTTAGAAATGAATATGCAGAAAATGGTTTCAGCAAATTTATTCTATTAATTTCGATTAACTAAATGAGAAAATGTCGTTCTAGTGTCAGTGGTCAGTAGAATACTACTCGTTAAGTAAAATAAAAATTAAAAGATTTTTTTTAGTAACGTAAAGGAAAAATGGTAACAATTTAATTATGAGTGTGGCCTCCTCTTGCCAAAATCACAGCTCTCAACATACTCTTCTAGGCATGCTTTCGAGGATATTGCTTATGACCTCTTGTGGATATGTATATATGTTCCCATTCCACGGCGATGAGATTATTTAGCTCCCTGATGTTTTGTGGTGCTGTCTGCGCTGACCTTACCCGTCGCTTCAGAACATTCCTGACATGCTCTATTGGATTGAAGTCCGGACTTCGAGCTGGCCAATACATACGCCAGATTCCAACATCTTGAATATACGCTACCACATCGCCAGAACGGTGGGCGCGAGTGTTGTCATCCATAAAAATGGAATCTTCTCCAAGAACAGTCAATGCGGGTTGTACGTGATGAATTAGAATCCGTCATGTAACGGTGTGCATTCAATGTGCCATTTTCGGTGAAGACTAACTCCATATGGTCCATCGAATTAATCGCTGTCCAAAACATAACGTAGCCCCCACCATAAGGGGTGACTTCTTCAAAACGCACGTCTGCAAAGCATTCCTCTGGTTTTCGTAGCACTCGCCGACGGCGGTCTTCACCACACAGAGAAATCCTGGCTTCATCAAAGAACAATACTCTTCTCCAGACCTCTTGAGTCCATGTAGCATGGTTTCCAGCGAAGTTAAGTCTAGCAACTTTATGCTCAGGGAGTAATTTAGGGCCACGAGCTGGGCGATGACTGCGTATATTGGCAGCAAGAAGCCTGCTTCTGACGGTCCATAGGCTAATTTGTACTATTCTCATTTCTTTAAGGTTCTTCTTGAAGTCCACGTATGAAGTTTTGTGATTTCTCAACGCCCGGCTTACCAAGAAGCGGTCATCCCGTGGTTCGTTGCATGATTTTTTTCCAGAACCTGTCCTTTTATTGGGGGAACCGGTCTCTTGATATCGTTGCCAAATCCTCTGAACTGTCGAACGACTCACATTCAGCCTCTGGGATACATAACATTGAGAACAATTTTCTTCAAGCAGCGCTATAATTTTGCTGGCTATTATTGTTTTGTCAACCATTTTAGAGACTACTTATAGTAATGGAACAATAACTTAAAATAATAAATTAAACTAGGTAACTTATCAAAATTTATTTAAAAGTGATTAATTAGTTCATATGAACTTTCAACAATTCCCGCCGTTTTATGCAGTGCAGAGTAACTCTCTTGTAGACAGGTTTTATTTCTGAAATTTGAATTTGGAACGAATGTTTTTACAAATGAGAACACTTAACTATCAAGCCAGTGACATTTTTGAATGAATAAAACCTTTTTCGTATTGTAATTATTTCAGGCAAGGAAAAAATTAAAAGTGCCAGTTTTTTTTGCAAATGAGTTTAGTTGCAAAATATAATGTAAACATTGATATGTTTACATTATATTGCGCCGGC